GGCCTCACCCTTTCATTCCCTATCTAGCGTGAGCGTTCCTAACCCCTGAAACCTATTCTCCATTCAGACCTGTTCCGAGACCCGTAACACCGGGAGCCAGTGGTGATGACTTGTCTTTTAACAGGATTAGAAGCCTTGTCGGATTGCCCCTGGAACAGCAAAAATTCTCCAATTCCAGAATTGGGATAGAGACGACGGTTAATAGACGGGCGCCGATTTCGCGTTCCTGCCATCCCAAAAAAACCAAAGCCAGAGCTCTATTATCTGACAGGTACGAGCAAAACATCGAGCAGTTAAATTTCTGACTCGGGTTCTTTAGGATGGCAGAAAACTGGAAATCGTCGACAAGTAGGCATCCGTGTAGGAACTGGCGCCTCTAGCTTATTTGTGAATGTGGAGAATTTCTGCAAGGCCTCTTCAACCGGAACTAGCTTAGCAGATAAGTGCCACCTCTCCCGCCCCACCTGCAGTTATCTTAATTCTCTGTCCGAGGTATGTGACTCAGATAGGCTCCTCCAACGGTATTCAAAGGTCCAAAGGTCTTTCTTTCTTGCTCAACTACTTTACTCTGATAACGGTATCATTTTCTCTTTCCTGCTTTATACACTACCTTTGTTCCTCTTGAAATCTAGTTTGCTTCCAATGAAACCCAATCCGTCTAAAGTTTGTTGACTGTTTAGACAATTTTTATGTTTAGGACAGGATATGTCAGTGATGACATCGTTCTTATTAGAATACTCCGTGGAAGGAGATTCCATGCTGGCCCAGTTGCCACTCCCATTCGCTATCCCCAAGACTGAATGTTGGAGGGTTGGGAAATTGTATTAAACGGTAAAGTAGGGAGGATTTACAAGTAAGTTAGTTGAATTAGAATGATTTAGTAGTGAGAGTAAGTTTTATGCTGAACGCGGTTAAGTTTCAGTTAAGACATCCTGTAGTGTTAAGTATTCTACTACTGCTGACCTTGGAACGGCACAGCCTGTCATAATAGAGCTCTTGACTCTATAGAATTGAAGGTGTCCTTACCCGATCAATAAAGTACAAAATTTAAAACCGCCATACTACCACGAGCCGTCAAGCGACAGCTAATTACGCATGACTTATTTGTCATTCTAAAACAACAGCGAAGCCCCAACTCAACTACATTTTCACTTTACGTTAAACTACTTAAAAACAGGTGCACCTCCGAACTTAAGACTGTCAGAATCCGAGAGGTAACTGCAAAAATGACCTCACTCCTGTGATTTTTGATCGAGATCTTTTAAAAATTAAGTTAATTAGATGTTCCAGGAAGAAATTTATAACGCCATCAAATGTTCAGATATTTATTTGCTACGATTTTATACCCGAGAAAAGAAGGCCACATTTTCTCTCAAAATATACATCCAGAGAAATCAGTTTATTAATATAGGAAAAAAGGCCACATGTGCAGAAAATAATTTGCAAATACGGGAGAGAATTTGTGTAGCGCCCTTTTCTATTCCACTGGAGGCAGAGAACGGGAGAAGGTTGTACACAGTCATTCTTCAACCTCGAAGCATAATTTCAGAGAAATGAATAAATATTGGTATTCTTAGCCATTTATGTCGTCAGGCTTTTTTCTGCTTGATATTTTTTGTTCGTGAGTCTTTTAAAGACTTCTTAGGACTAAATTTCGGAATTCGTTGTTTCGATCCCCTCGCACCTTCTGTAATAACTGTTCCCGTGAACCACTTTTTTTTTTAAGGAAGGCTTTACCGAGTAACGGTGAGTGTTTACATATATGATAAGGAATTCTTATCGCTTGTGCAATGCCTATTCATCTGAAGAACTGGAGGAAATTTCTGGAACAAAGGTCTATTTGAGGGTATTAGTTTATGGAGAAGTACCTTTTTCTGGGAGCTGTGGTCTGCTCAAAGAAAACGTCAGTTTCGGTTGGGTTTGCGCACGTAGTTTCAAAACGTATATATGATTTCATTTTTGCCCATTCTAGGGCATGCCACAAGTAATTTGCCGATGTTCCATGTTTCTCATCAGGAATGACAGACGGTTGTTTATCTTTTATTAAGAGTATCGGAATGTATGGGGTTGCGAGGAGGCAGTGCAGCGTAACTTCATTCTCTTCGCCCCAGTCAGTCGCCTTACTTTTTTCGGCATTCTTGTCGTTGGTGGTCTACGTAAGGCCAGTGGTCTACACCCTATATTTATTGATCTTTGTCCAGTCTTTGGTGGCCTACAAGCAATACCCATAACCCTTTAAGGTAGTGAGACACAATGAGCATGTCAATGTAACCCTCATGGAAACACTCGGCGAATGTCTTTCAATAGGCTAAAAAATATATCTGTGTGTTGGTTAATTGAGCGCCACCAACATTCTTTCAGATGTCGTGGAAGCATGTCTTGGCTGGTGCTGTGCACTTTCCTAAGAATCTTCAATTTCAATACTGACCATAGGGATTCAACTGTCTCCGTATTGGCACCAGTTATAGGATCAACAAAGTTTGTCTGGTGGTTCACAGTTTTGTGTCGATATCCATACTGGTTCACAGTTTTGTGTCGATATCCATACTGGTTCAATGTGGTGTAAGCAGCCCACTCGTCGGACACGATCAATGTTCCTGGCGCAACCTCATTTTGAATGATTGGGTGCAAAGTTTCCCTATCACGACAATCAACTACAAAATAGCATCTTTCGATGATCTTCCTTCCATCCAACTCATGGTTCCTTTCCTAAGAATCTTCAATTTCAATACTGACCATAGGGATTCAACTGTCTCCGTATTGGCACCAGTTATAGGATCAACAAAGTTTGTCTGGTGGTTCACAGTTTTGTGTCGATATCCATACTGGTTCAATGTGGTGTAAGCAGCCCACTCATCGGACACGATCAATGTTCCTGGCGCAACCTCATTTTGAATGATTGGGTGCAAAGTTTCCCTATCACGACAATCAACTACAAAATAGCATCTTTCGATGATCTTCCTTCCATCCAACTCATGGTTCCNAAGCAGCCCACTCGTCGGACACGATCAATGTTCCTGGCGCAACCTCATTTTGAATGATTGGGTGCAAAGTTTCCCTATCACGACAATCAACTACAAAATAGCATCTTTCGATGATCTTCCTTCCATCCAACTCATGGTTCCAGTAGATGCCAAACACCCATGGCCCCGACAATCGACTTCCATGGTTACGATTATTCTCTATTCCTCCTGCATCTGAGTCATCAGATGGAAGTTCTTCTGTTGGTAAATTTCCAGCTTGGAGCCGACCACGATTGGCCTTCCTCTTTCCCCGGAGAAGAGCTTCATCGATTTCCACTCGTTGATCATTCCCTCCCATTGGCTCTCTCAAGTCAAACATGTGAACACATACATCTCGACACAAGTTAAACCAATCATTTACGGTGTGGGCGCCACAACCCGTTAATATTGAAACAGTCACTTGTGGAATGTCCAGTGCCAAGTAGTAGCACAGTTCCAAGATCTTCTGAAGGGAAAGGTGGCTATTGCAGCATCCATTCACATATGTGAATGTAAAGAAGTCCTTCCCTTTGCGAATCGATTGGTGTGCTTGACATCCACGTCTGGTGCACCTCAATGTGTGGTATTCCTTGACGGAACCATCAGCAAGCTTCTTCTTGCGTTTTGTGGATTTCACCTCACTTCCACACCTCCAGCATTTCGGTAAATCGTCCACACTCTGAAGCCGCCCATGCTCACGCAAGAATGCAATACAACTCTCTTCGGTAGCAATCACGGAGTAAAACTCAACAGCTGAATAAGAATATGACAGAGTTCTCATAATTTATAGGTTCAAGTCTTTCCCTTGAAGACTATCCCTGATGCTCAGAGGATTAAGAGATTACCCCTTTACCTGGTGTGGGTAGAACTTATCCTTTTTCTAGCATTGTCAGGGAGGCATGGTGTCAACAAGAATACAGTTCATGCCGAGATAAGCCGTGTCAAGATAAGGTGAATTCAAGTCGGGACTCCAAATTTAAAAAAATTTTAGAGAACCTTAGCACAAACTTTTTACGTTTTGGTACGTAGACCACCAGTGACCAGAGAAACATCAATGTAGACCACCAACGACAAGAATGCCCTTTTTTCCTTTGACGGAAAACGACACCGGCTTTCTCGGAGTTACTGCATATACTGCAATACTTCCGACCGAATGTGCTTCGTTATCTAATCACTATGTTGCTTCCGCTCTTTTTTTTAATTGTAGAGTGGTCTGACCTTGGTGATTCATCCACTCATTTTTGTAGCTGAGATCATTCCAGTCATTTCCTGTCTTCTCGCGAAGTGACAAGAAGTCACTATGAAAGCTCCCCAAAGAATTCCCTATCCCATTCATACGAGCTACTTCTTGTGACGATATTCTACCACATGGAGGGAGAAGGGTTGTTGGATAGGAGAGGTGTGAAGCTAGACAGTGAAGACGCAGTTGTGGAAAGTCAGTGGAGTCATGGCCTCGCAGTGTCACGTGGCAAATCTCATGCGACCACTGGAGAACAGCTTCTTGGAATTGATTTTAAGACTAGGATGCTGGACTGAATGATGATTAGGCCCTTGACCTTAGTGATATCTGCCAGCGATTCTTATTTAGTCATACGACAACGATTCTAGTTCAACCAATCGGTCATTCAGTCATTCCATGTTTATCGTTTCGTTCACTTGCAGATAATATTGCAGTTCAAATTTCAATTTCAAATTCACCGCATTCACAATGGCTAAGGCTCCCGCTATTGGTATCGATCTGGGAACTACCTACTCCTGTGTTGGAGTATTCCAGCATGGGAAAGTGGAAATCATCGCCAACGATCAAGGAAACAGAACGACACCCTCCTATGTTGCTTTCACTGATACAGAGCGTCTGATAGGAGATGCGGCGATGAATCAAGTTGCCATAAATCCTGCCAACACTGTCTTCGGTCAGTTCACGGAAGAACTCATCCCCCTTGATTATATGTTCAGACTGAGCCTGCAGTGATATATGATTTCCTTCCAGACGCCAAGAGGCTCATTGGACGAAGATTTGATGATCCTTCGGTTCAGAGTGACATGAAGCATTGGCCCTTCGATGTCGTCAGCGATGGTGGGAAGCCCAAGATTCAGGTAGGTTTAAGTTTTACACCAATGACTGCGCAGGCTTATTTGGGAGAAATTAAAATCCATGGTTGGGACTAATTGTTGAACATGAATATGTTGAATATAGGTTGAATACAAAGGGGAGAAGAAAACTTTTTCTCCGGAGGAGATAAGTTCCATGGTGCTGACCAAGATGAAGGAAACCGCCAAGGAATATCTGGGGAAAGATGTCACAGATGCTGTCGTGACAGTGCCTGCTTATTTCAATGACTCGCAGCGCCAAGCTACGAAGGACGCAGGGATGATTGCAGGCTTGAATGTCCTCCGTATCATCAACGAACCTACTGCAGCTGCCATTGCATATGGTCTGGACAAGAAAGTTGGAGGAGAGCGGAATGTTCTCATCTTTGATCTTGGAGGTGGCACATTTGATGTCTCTATCCTGACCATTGAGGATGGGATCTTTGAGGTGAAATCTACAGCTGGTGATACTCATTTGGGAGGTGAAGACTTTGATAACCGAATGGTCAATCACTTTGTCCAGGTGAGTATTGGCTTGTGACCTGAATGTACTTCTCTGTTGATGGATATTCTTTATCTAAATTCAGGAAAAGTAGGTAAAATGAGACCTGTGGTAGGGCATGGAGATTTCCTTGATATTTCACAATTCCTACATCTAATCAGACCACATGGATGATTGCATCATCCATGTGCACAGAAAATCGTGGCTTGTTTGTCTTATTTTACAGGAGGGGCTGGGTAAAATTAGCTGCCACTATAAGACTACTCTATGACTGTGTTGATATGTCACTCTTTTCCTATGCATACAACAGCCTATGCATACAACATACAACAGTGCACACAAAACACCATCATGTGAACATAGCTTTTGTGCCCCACCGAGAGCAATTAATTTCCTAAAATCAAAGTTAGACTTAATGATTGGATGGAAGGAAACGGTTCCAAGTAAACAAAACTGATGGAGATTAGGTCTTCTGGTCAGCAAGTTTTTTGAACAAGTTTTTTTTTTATTTGATGATAAAATTGAGGTATCTGGGACAAAAGGAAGAAGAATCTTAACTCATTCTCTTTGTAAATTTAAGAAAATATGCTCCCTGGTTTCACTGTCTTACAGTATCCAATCCTAGTCAATTGCAGAAAAACTAAAACAATTGCAAAAGTTAACTCCTTTTTTTCTCCATTCCCTTTACTACAAACGATGTGTTCTAAGATCACGTCAGAGACAACACATAATGAAATGAAATTTTAATTTTTTTCCCAAAATTTTTTCAGGAAAAGAGTGCAACATGTAGCCAGAACTAATACATTACATAACAACCATCTATGGCAAAGGTCAATTAAAAAAAAAACATTGAACTAAGCATACAGGTACAGGTATTTTTTAAAATAAATGAATACTCGTGCGGTCATTTCTAAGTATATTTTTGTACTCCCTTTTAGCTGGATACACTTAAAGCAGGTTTTAAATAGTCACATCATACTTATTGTTTCATTTTAATGAAACCCTGATCTTATGTCCTGTCTTTTCAGGAGTTCAAGCGGAAGTTCAAGAAAGACATAAGCGACAACAAGCGAGCATTGCGTCGTCTGCGCACTGCTTGTGAGCGTGCAAAGCGCACTTTGTCTTCATCCACTCAGGCTTCAATTGAAATTGATTCCTTGTACGAGGGCACTGATTTCTACACTTCCCAGTGGGCTCGGGCAAAGCTCCTTGAGTTACGACTAGAGAAGGCGAGGTGGAACCTGGGTCATCTTTTCCATCACCACCCTATCAAAACTTACTGTCATTATTAATGTGTTTGACATGAGTATCATTACATTGTTGCAGTCTCTCCGAGATGCCAAGATGGACAAGGCTTCTATCCATGAGATCGTCCTTGTTGGTGGCTCCACTCGCATTCCAAAGATCCAGAAGCTGTTGGTGGATTTCTTCAATGGCAAGGAAGTGAACAAGAGCATCAATCCTGATGAAGCTGTTGCTTATGGAGCTGCTGTTCAAGTGAGTACAAGGCATTCCTGGGGTCTCAATGCTTTGTGGTCATTGGTGTAATGATATGAAAGCTCTTGGCTGGGTACTAGTTCCACTTGTACTAACTACCTCTGAGCAGTTGTGAAGAGAATACGGCCTGCACCTTTCAAGTTCATGTTATCCCGCTTTTCATTGATGGGGATTTGGTTTCTTTGTAGGCCGCCATCTTGCACGGAGACAAGAGTGAAGCAGTGCAGGACCTGCTGTTGCTTGATGTGGCTCCTTTGTCCCTTGGAATTGAGACAGCTGGAGGTGTGATGACCCCTCTCATCAAGCGCAACACCACCATTCCTACTAAGCAGACGCAGACCTTCACGACTTATTCTGATAACCAGCCTGGAGTGCTCATTCAAGTATATGAGGGAGAGAGAGCCATGACCAAAGACAACGTGAGTCCTAATTTAAATGAAATATATGTATTTTACATCTAATTCGTTATTGTGGACATGCAAGATATAAATGATGAAAATGACTGTGGTTGTTCGCAGTCTCCACCTGAGTGGCTTGACCTAGCTTCATGACGGTTGTAACCTTCCTTGGATGACTGAATAAGATCATAAATATGAAAGGATATTTTCCCATTCTTTGGAAAACATTGGTTGAATTGAGGTCTTTCTTTTTCTAGAACCTTTTGGGGAAATTTGAGCTGTCAGGTATCCCACCTGCTCCAAGAGGAGTCCCTCAGATTGAAGTGACCTTTGACATCGACGCCAATGGGATCCTGAATGTTCATGCTGCAGACAAGTCTACTGGCCGTGAGAACAAGATTACCATCACCAATGACAAAGGTTGGTGCTACTTAACTTCTGAATGCATGCTGGGATCAACTTAGTTTCATCTGAAGTGGTGAAGGCGATGAAAATATGTGGTGTGTTCATTGCTTTCACTTGAGGAACTGAGCTTGTTCTCCTTATGAAGACTTTAATTCTCATTTCATGGCTAATATTCCATTAATTGCATGGAGTTTATTTGGCTTTGTTTCTTAATTGTAAAAGGTTGGTTGTTTTTTAATTTTTGAAGTTTTATTTTTTGCATGCCCCTTAACATTTGTGCTAGGAGTTGTGTACTTATGAGTATCCTGATGACAGGGCGTTTGAGCAAAGAGGAGATTGAGAGGATGGTTCAGGAAGCAGAGAAATTTAAAGACGAGGATGATGCACAGAAGGAACGAGTGACAGCTAAGAACTCGCTCGAGTCCTACGTTTTCAACATGAAGAGTACCATGGAGGATGACAAGTTCAAGGATAAAATCCCTGAAGAGGACAAGAAGACCATTTTGGACAAATGCAATGAAACACAAAAATGGCTAGATGCAAATCAGGTACTTTCATTATTTGTTGGACAATGTAATTTGAGATTCTTTGATGTTTTCTGATTCATTTTTTCCCTCTCTCTCTTTCTCGCTAAGAGAGAGATCGACCGTCTCTTCCTTCTTAACCTCGTGTTCGTTTTCCTTGACCTCTTAAACACATTGGGGTAATAATGTTTCGACATGGTCCCACGCCGTCCACGACGACCACCGTACGGGGTACGCGGCATGCCCCATGGCGGCATGCCTCCTGGTGGATTCCCTGGTGCTGGAGCTGCTGGTGGGGCTGGTGGGGCTTCCTCAGGTCCCACTATTGAAGAAGTGGATTAATCACACTTTAATATAGTTAAAATCCATAAATCTGCTTCTCTCTGATTCATTGCCATGCTTCTATTACACTGCTGTCACCAGTGCATTTGTATCACTTAGAAGTGAAATATCACTGTCGCATCGGGATGATTCTCATGATAAAGTTGACATTATGGAAGCCTGAACTCTGAATTTCAGTAATTTTTTTTCAAGCTTGGGAGGAACTTATTTGGAATAGTGTTGGGTTTCGTTTGTATGATTCTTGAAATAATTGCTCAAGGAAATTGTTTAGGGGAGTTATTTAATTGATTTCAGACCTCCTTGCAGAAGTGGAAAAGTTCTTTAACCTTGTAAACATTATCTGGAAGGGTAGCAACTAATTGAGAAGGCAACACCAGTAGAAGCAACATCAGTGCTTAGGAAGGTAAACCATAGTTACTGGGAAGCAGAGCTTTTTCCACCTTTTCTACCTTGGGTGAAACATAAGAACGCCTCGCTCTTTGAAATTCTTTGGGGTTTTTGAAACTGCAGAAATCGCAAGAAAGCGCTTCGTACGGACTACCTCAGTCTCATTCGTACCCGCGGTTCTTTTTTTTTTTCCCTTTTTCTCTCCATCCGTTTTACTGCACAAGCGATTTTCCGCAAGTAGCTCGAATTTTCTCTTAGCGAGATGACTTGCCGAATATGTTGGGCGTAGTTCTCACTAGTTCTGTTTGCTGCCCATGGAAATTGTGCTCTTACGCTTATAGTGAAACGGTGATGAGAGTAGGGAGTTGAGGCATACTAGTATTTCCATTATACTGACCCCTACTACATTTTTCAGTGTTATCGCCAAGGTATGGAAACCGTAGGAAACCACTTCTAATCATACCGCTGCCCCGGCGCCATACCAAGAATCATTTATAAATATTGGGTTGATGCAAAAGTCTTTTAGTTTTTTGATACTTCTATTTCTCAACAAATTTATTTATACAATAACATCATCAATAAATGTTATAATCACCATCGTGGTCCACGACATGTCGCCACCTATGGGGCAGAGCGTGGATGCCCTCTGCGTAGAAGGATGGAGGTTTGGAGTCAAAGAATAAATCCAGGTCCTGTTTGAGGTGGTTCCTGTCATCGAACTTCTTTCCATCCAAGTAATTTTGCAGGCCCCTGAAGACATGGTAGTCACAAGGGGAGATGTCTGGGGAGTACGCTGGGTGGGGCAGCTGTAGCGAACCCCAGGGGGTCACAAGATATGGGGCACGAATGCCTCGCTACATATGGAGATCAGACCCAATGTGGTCGGTTGGTAATCAGGAAGGTTGCGTGTTCTTATAGATGGTAAATTAGCGAGGGAGAAGCGAAGTCTCAGATCTCTCTAGACTCCAAGTATGAAGAAAGGTACGTCCTTAGATTAGGTTAACAACTGTGCAGTAGAATATCCCTGTGTACTGTAAGCTATATGTATATAAATGTAATGAAGCAGTTCATTTCCGAGTGGGTAATGCGTTGAACAGAGAATTGTCAAGAAGACGTTGAGCACGCAATAGAAGATTCAAATTTCCACCGATTAGACGGCCAGCGTAGCGGCTGCAGGCCGCTAGTTATACTTTAATTCGAAGAAGTCAAAAGCTGCCGTGGTGGTGGTGATGGTCGTGGCTCTCCCCCAACGCGCGGGCCTACGATGCAATGCCATTCTGGGTCATAGGCCAGGCCTACAAGGCTGCGCCTTTCCAACCCATCATCTTATATCCTATACTTTAATTCAAAGTGGTCAAAAGCTGCGGTGGTGGTGGTGGTCGTGGCCGTGGCTGTCACCCCCAACACGTAGGCCTACAATGCAATCCCCTTCTGGATCATAGGCCACGCCATCCACGGCCTAAGGCGAAAGGCCTACAAGCCATCATATTGTGACGGATGAGGATGGCATCGAGAGGCACGACTGAATGTCCAGGGTTCGGTGGTGTAGTGGTAGCACACCTGACCGGCAATCAGGAGGCCCGGGTTCAATTCCCGGCCGTTCCTTGTCTTCTTTCGTCCTCTCATGCTTCCTCGTCCGTCTCCCCATTTCCCCTCCGTAACATTTGGTGGCAGCGGTGGGATCGGCCCACACCTCCGAGAGACTGGGTGATGTTGACCGGCCGAGGTAGCATACCGGCGGTCCGACCGGCCGAGGGAGAATTCCGGCAACGGTGAAGTCTGGAGGACCAGACTAGTTACGAGAGGGAGTAATGTGACGGATGAGGATGGCATCGAGAGGCACGACTGAATGTCCGGGGTTCGGTGGTGTAGTGGTAGCACACCTGACCGGCAATCAGGAGGCCCGGGTTCAATTCCTAAAACCGAGAAAGTCGCTTAGGAGTCTATGGGGAAAACGCTGCCACGGACCCAACCAAGATGGCTTCTAAATGCTCCAAGTCCATTCTACTGTGCGCCACCTCCAGTTCTATTTCTTAGCTCAGTGGACCAGATTAGTTACGAGAGGGAGTAATGTGACAGATGAGGATGGCATCGAGAGGCACGACTGAATGTCCGGGGTTCGGTGGTGTAGTGGTAGCACACCTGCCCGGCAATCAGGAGGCCCGAGTTCAATTCCCGGCCGTTCCTTGGCTTCTTTCGTCCTCTCATGCCTTCCGTCTTCCCATTTCCCCTCCGTAACAATAGTTTGAATGAGCGAGCGAGAGTGAGAAGAGTGACAGAAAAAAAAGGAAACGTTCATTATTTTTAAGTTATTGTGTTCATGGGACGTCTGGATGGAGTTTCCTTTCAAGGGAAATAAAATGACTAATGGGCGACTCCGTGGCCCCAATTGGCAGCACTCTTTTCTCTTTTTTTTTCTTTGGAGTCGATGCACGTCGTCCTCGTTGGAGGACGTGCACTGACCTGCACGTGCGCTCCGACGAGATCGACAACCTAATTCGGAGAAGGTATCCTTGAAATTCTTTTTTTCTTCAGCGCCTTTATGAGGTCGAGCAGGAAGTTGGGAGATGGAAGAGATGGGTGTAGTTAAGAGATGCATCAGAGGCGAGTCTCCCCGGAGGAACTACGTGCGATCGATGGATTTATCTGTCCTTCGGTTGGGAAAAGGGGATTTTATTTATGTAGTTTTTAATTTTCCTCCGTTGATACACGACTGTGAGGCTTATGAATCTTTTACTTCAGGCTTGTAATGGGAGGACCTGCGGAACCGAGCGTGCATACGGCCTTGACCTTCGGCGTCTTTTATCCTTTTCTCCTATCCGGATGGAATGCACTTGAATGCATGCACGTCGAGGTGGAATTACGGATGTGGAGGTTGCGTTTATCATTCCGGTCTCGCTCACGTCCCTCAGCCGAGCTGATAGATTCATGGGGAGGGAGAAGTTCTGGATAGGATCAGGATCTGCACGGGAAGAGAGAAAATGGGGCTCGTCCACTGCTGTGTGGGTTGAGGGGGACGACTCGTTCTCGTGGCGTTGGCGACGTGCCAGGGATCGAGGATGAGAGATTTTTCGGGCGTTTTTGTTCGGGATGATGTATGATATGGGCTTGGGTGGGGGGAAGTGTACCTTCGAGTACCAAGACGGCGCCTGGCGGTCTGCTTTGATGAATCGCGAAGCCTGTTGCCAGCCAGCCAACCAGCCAGGAAGACGTGAGGAAGACCTTGAATACGTGGGGTTTCTCAGTACGGAGCGTGCTTTGCGGGATGGGAAAGACGTACCGAGAGGTACCGGCATCTCGTGGTGTGTGTTGCTGGGCACGCCCGAGGGGCAAAGGGAGAGGGGAGGTGAAGAAAAGAAAAAACAGAGGACGCAGAAATAATTAATGGAGGATACCTTTTCAGGTGTGGTACTGCGTGGCGCGAGGCACGCACCCACCAACTTTTCATGGTGTTGCTGGGGCAAGTCTCTTCCACGGTCCGTCAATTTCACGTATGGCCTACGAAGAGGATCGAGTTTATTGTCGCTTCTACATGCACACTTCATTTCACCCAACCAGGAAAGATGGAACTCATCGCGGTAACGACGTTAGGGCGACGGAAGAAGCCTTGAGCCTCCAGAGCGGGGAAGATGGAGGTAAGAAAATACGGAGAAGGCCGAGATGGGGCGTGGTGGAAAGTGATCGCGTTCGTGAGGCCTGGGGTGGTCATCGCGAAACGACGGACGGTTTTCCCATCTCATCCTACCCCCGCGCTTTCGTTCACGTTCGCCTGTAGCGAACCCCAGGGGGTCACAAGATATGGGGCACGAATGCCTCGCTACATATGGGGATCAGACCCAATGTGATCGGATGGTAATCAAGAAGGTTGCTGTTCTTATAGATGGTAAATTAGCGAGGGAGAAGGGAAGTCTCAGATCTCTCTAGACTCCAAGTATGAAGAAAGGTACGTCCTTAGATCAAGTTAACAACTGTGCAGAATTTATTATGATACTCAATAGGGGAGATAGACCGGAAGGNTTGCAGAGTGGTGAACGCGTGGAATGCGTTAGATGACGAAGTAGTGGCTGCCCCTTCTGTGACTATCTTTAAGAAGAAACTAGATGCTTTCATGGACAGGCAAAAAGGTGGGGGGCAATGTTGACGTAGGTACTAGACAGTAAGCAACTAGGATAATAAAAAATAAAAAAAAAAAAAAAAAAACAAAACAAAAATACAAAAATATATAGCTTTAAGAGGGTTAGGCCTACCCTAAAATTAAGGAACGCTCGACCTCGACACGTGATATCGAAATGGGCGAAATCGCCTCTTGATATCACTAACTCTCCTGACTCCTGACTCCTGACTCCTGATCTGGAACAATACTCAAGGATACACAGTGGCGTAACTAGGGGGGAGCAAGTGGGGCGGTCGCCCCGGGCGCCATAGTCCAGAGGGCGGCAAAAGCCTTTCTAAAACGTTTTTACTTCAAAGAAGCAAAATGTCGGAATTTTTTTCATTTTGCCCATTTTGCCGCCCACTGGCGAAATGCCGTTTTGGCGATTTTGCGATTTCTTTCCGTTTGTCGCCCTCAGTTCAGAGGGTGGCAAAACTGACGCAAATAGCATTTCTGGGGTAATAAATAAATAAAAAATACTATTTTACTATTGATATATATCCAGCATGACGCATGCTGGTAGCTCGGTTAGTAGTGCTAGTGCTATAATCACTTCCTTTGCGAGCGAGTTATGACAGATATTAAACGTCTAAACCACTCTGCCAGCGACATATACTGAGAGACGGCAGTCACGAGTCACTTTACTCAGTCTAGTTCCAATACGAATCCTAACCCTTCTGTGAAAAAAGGCGGGGTTGAATATCGATACATCCAGCACTCTAGTAACGGTTTACGCCACAGGCTCACACCATGCAGCAGTGAACACCAGTGTGACGAAATCCCGGAATATTTATAACGTTCAGCCCGTCAATCCGTGATTGAGTCATTCAATCGTTCAAGAATTTGTGTTCATCAGCTAGTTTGCGTTTTGTATTCTTCAAATTGGGTGCTTTGCTATTTGCCGCCCAGGCGCCCATATAATAAGAAATGAAGCGACAGAAACCAAGTGGCGCCCAATTTAGAAAACTGCGGCGAGTTCCAAAAATTGTATGGAAGTTTTTGTGAAAGCAGGGTAAGATTCTGCACCAGTTTCTAAAAATTAAGGTAAGGAATCTGTCGTTCCAGAAAATTCAAACAATGAACTGGAAGTTACTAGTCATTCCGGTAACCTAGAAAATGACCCCAATTCGCCACAATCACTGGAGCATTCAAGTGATTTGGCAACTACTGACAATGAGCACGATGAACTGCAACAGTTCAGTCGAATTAGCAGGAAGCAGAAGTATGTCAAGAAGACGGATTATCTGTAAATACAAGCACCACTTTGTTGGGTTTTAAAGTTAGAGCGTGGATTGAAAAAGGGCGGACTTATTAATGACCACGTTCAGTCGAAAATCGCCAATGCTGCTCAGAAGTGAAAACAAATTCTTGAGCGTATTACTGCAGCAGTTCAGACGCTTGCCCAGCAGAACTTGGCTTTTCGAGGTCACCGTGAGTCTCTAGACAGTGATGAAAATCTTGGAAATTTCCTGGCATTGACGAAGTTCTTGGCAAAATTTTATCCATTCATGAGAGAATACTTGGGTTCAGTTTCTGCAAAACCCAATTCTTTGTCATATTTGTCGCCAACTATACAGAATGAATTGATCAACACATTGGGAGCCAAAGTGCGCCAGTTCTGACAATTCAGAAAGCGAAGTATTTCAGTATCATATTTGATACAACTCTTGACAATTTGCATGTAGAACAAATGTCGCAAATTGTAATATTTGTTGAGGCTCTGTAAAAATCAAGGAAGCTTTTATTGACTTTATTCCATTTCATGGAAAAACAGCGGAGGCAATCACAGCTGAATTAACAAAAAAAACTGGAACAGGATGGATTCGATCTTCAAGACTGCAGCGGTCAGTCATATGACAATCAAGCTACAATGACTGGTGTTCGTTCTGGTGTTCAAAAACGGATTTTAGATCTGAATCCATTGGGTGTTTTTGTACCTTGCAACAATCACTCTCTAAATCTGGTCGGCGTTCATGCAGCACATGTGAATGTTCAAGCTGTTACTTTCTTTGGGAACCCTAGAACGTCTATTTGAGTATTTTTCGTCTTCATCTCATCGATGGGAACTTCTGATTTTGTCAAAATTACTGTCAAGAGCCATTCTGACACGAGATGGAACTCAAAAGCAGCTGCAGTGACGGCCATTCCCAGTCAACTTGTAATAACGTAATAGCAGCACTTGAACAACTACGAGATTCTCCCTCTGAAACGATCGATTCACGTGGTGATGCTGGTCTGATTCTCATTGGTGTCCAAAAGTTCGAATTTGCAGCCCTCCTGTGTTTCTGGTCAAAGGTGCCCCTTGCTGCTGTGTAGCGAACCCCAGTGGGTCATAATATATGGGGTACGAATGTCTCGCTACATATGGGGATCAGACCCAATGTGGTCGGATGGTAATCAAGAAGGTTGCGTGTTATTATGGTAAATTAGCGAGGGAGAAGCGAAGTCTCAGATCTCTCTAGACTCCAAGTATGAAGAAAGGTACGTCCTTAGATCAAGTTAACAACTGTGCAGAATTTATTAGGATACTCAATAGGGGAGAAAGACCGGAAGGAGAAATACAGGGAGATACAGTCAGTGCCAACATCGACCCCGAGCGTGCGTGAAGCAGGACTATGCACCTGCTAGCTTACACAACCAAGGACCAGCGGCTGGCACCAGGTCCAGCAGCCAAGCACTACTCAGGTGTCGTCAAGCGATATGAGACCAGCACGCAGTTCGGGGCTCACACCGCGGTTCACTGAGTTGACCGGCTGTGAGGGTCAGGCTGCGTGACTCGACACGCCACGTTGGTCGTCGGTTCGTGATGAGTCCACAGCAGTTCGCTATACAGACCAGCACGCAGTTCGGGGCTCACACCGCGGTTCACTGAGTTGACCGGCTGTGAGGGTCAGGCTGCGTGACTCGACACGCCACGTGTCGTCCGGCCGAAGGGTCCTGGCGCACTCACGCGCCCACGTGTTGTCCGGCCGAGGGTTCGTGACGGACTCCCGCGTGCTGTCCGGCCGGAGGTTCAAGTCGAAGGGTCCTGGCGCACTCACGCGCCCACGTGCTGTCCGGCCGAGGGTTCGTGACGGACTCGCGCGTGCTGTCCGGCCGGAGGTTCAAGACGGACTGCTGCGTAGGGCAGAGGTGAGGGCGTGAAGGGGCGAGAGGAGGTCCGCTATGGGGACTTGGCGTAGTGACTCGGAGACTCTTCCCCTCTGCTCATCCATGGGCACGAGGAGGACTCCACAGCTTCGCTTCGCTCTCACATTATCTCAGAAGTTTCTGCGACCTTAGTGAAGTATATATTTTCCGTCCAAATGAAGTTGGCATGACGCGAGTACAGGTCTTTTATGAGAAAAAGTGGAAGTCTTATAGTAGAGTCTGGTATAATGAAATGAAAACAAAAATGTCAAATGGTCTCGTCGTCTTCTATTGTACGTCCTCTCTTCACTGCGGGTATTGTAGCTTGATCTCATTTAGGAGATCCATGCATGGTCTTTTCTTGTGGATTTCCACCATCCATCAGAAAGATGGCCTTGCAGCATCTGCTGCGTGGTTCCCCGCCTTCACTATTCGCTGTTTCATGGCCCCCCATTGTGCTTCGATGCGTTGCGTATTCGCGCCTGGGAAACAAAGAGCAATGAAATGTGCTAAGTGGGACTCGACGTGATGAAGAACTGATATCTCACCCGTAACCGGATTCACGAAATTCTCTGAGTCTGTCTCATGAATATATCCCATCCTGCCCGTCTCCATATTGGTCGGATCTAATTGTGGACCCCGGGAGAATGTGGCGTCGGATGATGGGAAGTAGTGTCCTTCTATCGCGACGCGCCACTATAACGAGGCGAGTCTCCGAGAAACCCCCGTGCCGCCAAACCATACCAAAAACCCAGGGACCTACAACGCGGCCGCCGTAGTTCCGTTTGGCTGGAGGGAAATTATTCCCTGCTAGAAGCCGACCCTGGTTGTTCTTACGGCACCCACTGCAGAGGCAAAGAATTTCAATACATGACTTTTGAATAGTTACAAATGAATAATGTTAACTATGATAGTTCTATTGCTCAGCTATTTCTCTCAAAGTCAAACTGAAGTCCCATGATGTTTTATGTGATAACAAGCTTCTATGAAGAAATAACTTTCGTTTTTTCCCCTCATGAACTCTATTGAGACTACAAGGATCATCTTGAAAAAACACCATGATCCCTCATGTCCCCTCAAAAGGGGCCCTTGCATGACATTCCCCCCCACCCAAAGACATATGTCTACAGGAAAATCAAAACTGAGATTAAGGCATTATACTCATTGATAAAAGCAATGTACAGTGGAAGGACTTCAAACCTGTGCTTTCCCTTTGTCCTCTCAGCTGAAAAGGTTTCCAATCTCATCACAAATCTTGCCTTCAGGATGCTGCATGTTTTCTCTCCAATAGAACTGTCTCTAATCCCTTGCAAGTAGGATACCTGTTGATGACATGCAAACATTCACTGCTTCAAAATACACCAAGGTTTGAGAGAATCAGAGAAGACTTCCTTCATTGGGAATCACATATTAACAACTGATTTCTTGCTAATTTCAGTTACTTCTTGTATGGGGTGAAAATTGAAGTGCTCCCTTTTGACCGATGCACGATGTGAAACTGAATATAAGTATCAAGAAGATTTACAAATTCTTTAGCAATAGGCACAATAAAAACAGAACTTTAATGCATGCCTCATTAGGAAACTTTACAAATTCACAACCAAGAGCAATTGATGCCTGTCAAGAGGAAACAAAAGCCAATATTTACAAATAGGAACAGCTGGGCCACATGGAAAAGGCAAAATATTGAAATGCCATGCAAGACACACCTCTACATCTGAGGAGTTGAGAATCCAGTATGGCCAACTAAGACCAATGACATGCTTTTCTGCAGCCCTGTTCTCCACACCAGCATGGCAAATGTCTCCTCATAACTCCCAGGCAGACCTTAGGAAAGAATAAGAGTATCTGATGTATGAGATGGGACATGAGGGAATGACAGTGATCACCAGATGAATTTCTAATTTGGAATTTTTCAACATTGTCATGTAGAAAAATTCCAAACATGTGACTCTGAGACTTTGTTGGAAGCTAAAAACTGTTATCTACAAGCCTATATTTCAGAGTAATTTGTGAAACCTTCGAAGCCCTCACCGAATGCATGTAGTCCAGTGGGAATTACAACACCAGTTCAATGCCAAATTGTAGGAGACATGATACATGTGATCTTCATCTTCAGGCTGATCCTGTACAGCTATGTACCATCCAGAGGTTACAGAACTCAGCCTCTTCAAGACATTAGGCCTGTAGAAAGATATTGACATTTTGTTAGCTATATCCAAACCACAAGCTGAAAGTGAAAGGAGTCTGATAACATGCTTGCTTCTTTTATTGTGTACAAGATGGGCCAGAAGCTTTTGGAAGCATTATCTGGAGAAAGTTCATTAACATTGACTTTTAAGTTTAATATTGAGCCCTCTGGGGCATGAACACCACCCTTAGCCCTTTTCTTAATCTCTAAATTGAAAAATTATAGTAAAACTATCCATTTCTCATGGAAATGATTTTATCCTTGACATCTGAATCAGATTCCATTAGTGTTCAAGAATCTCTTGGAAGTACTAAGTGATAGAGAGTTGTAGGCTGTAGATCAATTCATTCACTTCAGTGAGACATAGAATGCACTCAATTTTTGACCCATTTTTTGCAATTTGTTAAAAAGACTTTAACTGACTTCAGTAAGAGAACATTATCCTGACAAAAAAAAAGTACCTTCAGGTGCAGCAGATTCACTTTGGAGAAGGATTCCTTCAGGTGTGGATGCCTTGGGTCAGAGAGCACAAACATTACATGTAACATTTCATCATCTAGGCATGTAGGGCAGTGGGCTTGGCCAGTTGGCAAACTACATAAGGCCTAGGTCTCATCTCCTCTGCTCTCCAGATTTCTTCAAGAGGCAGTGTAGAACCATCATGAACATGAGAAACTGATCTATCAGGTTGATGGCAATTTTCATACTTCCAATTGCTGCTTTCTGAGGTAATATGAAACGAGAACGCGAAAGGATGGCTTGACCATTTCATTACCTGTCGCAAAATCAGTGCAGTATGAAAATGAATGACAGGAATCACAGATACCATTAGATTACCATGTGACAAGACTTCTCAACACCTCATGAGGCAAGCATGTATGGAGACATTAGGTATGATCTACTCTATAGTAAGTGGGAAAACATTCTTACTGAAGAGAAAAGAATATAACATCATGGAGGCCCCTGGCAATCTGCATGATGATCATGTCTTGTTAGATGCCATGAAATTGGAGGGTCAAGTTCTTATTCTCTGTCTGGAAGCTAGAAGTCCACAACCATCACCAGTCTCACCCTTCCAAGACAGACACTTGCAGATGATGAAGCCAATGTTGTGATCACTTTTTACATTAAAGTAAAAAGAAACACTTTCCAGAATGTGGAGAGCACTGTGACTGTTCATTTTTACACTGAAATTGGACCTAAGAGGCCATTAAATAAATGTCATTATCCGCTGAGAACCCTGAGCACATGAGAAAAAAAAATCATTGCATACGAATGAGATCTAAAGTACGTAGCAAGCGAAATGGTCAAAGACTGAAGCGTTAGATAGACCGAAGTTTATATTTCCAGTAGACCTACTATAGGCCTAACATAAGGCCCATTCCTTACGGTACATATGGCAATGTGAGGCATAGGCGGATGACTTAAAATAATTGCCGTGTTTCGTTACGTTATTCAACCTCCAATATCCAACATAGGGGATATCTGAACCCTAAGGTATGATTAACATCCAACATATACTTCCCTTACAACTAACGAAAAACCAAACACGTCCATTTCCAGGCTGCATGATCGAGTACTGAAAGCATATATACCTAAAGGCTTGGGGAAGAAATCCGTATAATAGTAAAATGGGTAGCAGCAAAGTTCTATGCAAAAACACCTCGTATCAAGCTCGAATTGCACGTACATGATGCGTCATTGCGCCAAAAAGAGCAGCTACATAATGCACTTGAACGGGAGAGTTTGGCATCATTGGCGCTTATTTCAAATCCGGATAACATGCGAGTAATATACGTGTGGATGTACTAAAGATATTCACCGGAGCTTTAGAGCATATCCACCATCGCATCTCACACGCATGTCCATCGAAGTGCTCTGTACGAACGAAAAAGAAATTGCGATTCTCGCTGGGATTCGAACCCTGGTCCCCTGCCAAACAGCCGCTCTCCCTACTAATCGCGTCATACTCAAAGTCCGTGAGACATCCGACGAATATCTAGCGGACCCAGCGAATGTGAGAGGATGTGAGAAAGCAGAGTGGATGTACATAGGATTTCTAATCCTACCTGGGCCCCTTCCGAAAATACGTCCAGGTGGGGAGAGTCCCACCTCATACCGAACATTATTGGTAGAGTGCAATAAATACAAAACCAAGTTCTCCTGCATCCGATGCTGAATCATAGAAAAACCAACTTGGAATCGCGACATTCCATGACACTTCCGAGAAGCGCAGCAAGGGGAACACGTCCCACCTTGTACCAAACATACTTCTTTTAGTGCAATCATGACAAAACCAAGTTCTCCAGGTTCTGATGCTGCAGCATAGCAAACGACACTAGGAATTATAATAATCCAGGCCCCACCCGAAAAAAGGCCCAGGTGGGGCAAGTCCCGCTTTATACCAATTATACTTCTAATAGTGCAATCATAACAAAACCAAGGTTTCCTGCCTCTGCTCCTGAATCATAGCAAACTATACTAGGAATTACAACAACACAGGCGACATCTGATGAACGGTCCAGGTGGGGCAAGTTCCACCTCATACCGAACATACTTCGCAGAGTGCAACCATGACAAAACCAATTTCTCCTACCTCCGATGACTTCGATGAATGGTACAGGTGGGTCAAGTCCCACCTTATACCGAAAATATACTTCGAAGAGGAGAATCATGACAAAACCAACTTCTCCTGCCTCCGATGCTGAATCATACCAAAATAGACTAGGAATAGCGGCATTCCATGACACTTCCGAGAAGCGCAGCAAGTGGGGCACGTACCACCTTGTACCAAACATACTTCTCATAGTGCAACAAAACCAAGTTCTCCTGCCTCCGATGCTGAATCATAGCAAACTATACTAGGAATTACAACAATACAGGCACCATCCGAAAGACGGTCCAGGTAGGGCAAGAACCACTTTGCACCAATTATACTTGTAATAGTGCATTCTTGACAAAACCAATTTCTCCCGCCTCCGATGCTAAATCATAGCAAAATAGACTAGGAATAGCGGCATTCCATGCCTCTCCACAGAAGCGCAGCAAGTGGGGCACGTCCCGCCTCATACCGAATATTCTTGGTAGAGTGCAATTTTCACAAAACCCAGTTTTCCTTCCTCTGATGCTGAATCATAGAAAAACCAACTTGGAATCGCGAGATTCCATGACACTTCCGAGAAGCACATCAAGTGGGGCACGTCCCACCTTATAACGAACATTCTTGGCAGAGCGCATTCTTGACAAAACCAATATCTCCCGCCTCCGATGCTAAATCATAGCAAAATAGACTAGGAATAGCGGCATTCCATGCCCCTCCACAGAAGCGTAGCATGTGGGGCACGTCCCACCTTGTACCAAACATACTTCTCATAGTGCAACCTTAAGGAAACCAAGTTCTCCTGCCTCCGATGCTGAATCATAGCAAACTATACTAGGAATTACAACAATCCAGGCACCATCCGAAAGACGGTCCAGGTGGGGCAAGTCCCACTTTGTACCAATTCTACTTGTAATAGTGCAATCATGACAATACCAAGATCTCCTGCCTCCGATGCTGAATCATAGCAAATTATACTAGGAATTACAACAATACAGGCGACATCTGATGAACGGTCCATGTGGGACAAATCCCACATCATACCGAACATACTTCGTAGAGTGCAACCATGAGAACACCAATTTCTCCTGCCTCCGATGCTAAATCATACCAAAATAGACTAGGAATAGCGACATTCCATGACACTTCCGAGATGCGCAGCAAGGGGAACACGTCCCACCTTGTACCAAACATACTTCCTTTAGTGCAATCATGACAAAACCAAGTTCTCCAGGTTCTGATGCTGCAACATAGCAAATTACACTAGGAATTATAATAATCCAGGCCCCATCAGAAAGACGGTGCAAGTACCAATTATACTTGTAATAGTGCAATTATAACTAAACCAAGTTTTCCTGCCTCGGATGCTGAATCATACCAAAATGGACTAGGAATAGCGGCATTCCATGCCTCTCCACAGAAACGCAGCAAGTGGGGCACGTCCCGCCTCATACCGAATATTCTTGGTAGAGTGCAATTTTCACAAAACCCAGTTTTCCTTCCTCTGATGCTGAATCATAGAAAAACCAACTTGTAATCGCGAGATTCCATGACACTTCCGAGAAGCACATCAAGTGGGGCACGTCCCACCTTATAACGAACATTCTTGGCAGAGCGCATTCTTGACAAAACCAATATCTCCCGCCTCCGATGCTAATTCATAGCAAAATAGACTAGGAATAGCGGCATTCCATACCTCTCCACAGAAGCGCAGCAAGTGGGGCACGTCCCACCTTATAACGAACATTCTTGGCAGAGCGCATTCTTGACAAAACCAATATCTCCTGCCTACGATGCTAAATCATAGCAAATTAAACTAGGAATCGCGAGATTCCATGACACTTCTGAGAAGCGCAGCAAGTGGGGCACGTCCCACCTTGTACCAAACATACTTCTCATAGTGCAACCTTAAGAAAACCAAGTTCTCCTGCCTCCGATGCTGAATCATAGCAAACTATACTAGGAATTACAACAATCCAGGCACCATCCGAAAGACGGTCCAGGTGGGGCAAGTCCCACTTTGTACAAATTCTACTTCTAATAGTGCAATCATGACAATACAAAGTTCTCCAGGTTCTGATGCTGCAACATAGCAAATTACACTAGGAATTATAATAATGAGGGCCCCATCCGAAAGACGGTCCAAGTGGGACAAGTCCCGCTTTGTACCAATTATACTTGTAATAGTGCAATTATAACTAAACCAAGTTTTCCTGCCTCGGATCCTGAATCATACCAAAATGGACGAGGAATCGCGACATTCCATGCCCCTCCCCAGAAGCGCAGCAAGTGGGGCACGTCCCACCTCATACCGAATATTCTTGGTAGAGTGCAATTTTCACAAAACCGAGTTCTCCTGCCTCCGATGCTGAATCATAGCAAACTATACTAGAAATGACAACAATACAGGCGACATCCGACGAACGGTCCATGTTGGGCAAATCCCACTTCATACCGAAAACATTCTTTGAAGAGGAGAATCACGAAAAATCTTAGTTTTCCTTCCTCCGATGCTGAATCATAGTAAGAAGGACCAAGAATTACAACAAACCAGTACACCTCCGAGGAGCGCAGCAAGTGGTGCACGTCCCACCTCATGCCGAACATACTTCGTAGAGTACAATCTTGACAAAACCAATTCCTCCCGCCTCCGATGCTAAATCATAGGAAAATAGACTAGGAATAGCGGCATTCCATGCCTCTCCACAGAAGCGCAGCAAGTGAGTGAAGTGATTGCAAGTGATTTAGCATCTCCGATGCTAAATCATAGCAAACTACACTAGAGATTACAATAATCCAGGCACCATAAGAAAGACGGTCCAGGTGGGGCAAGTCCCACCTCATACCGAATATTCTTGGTAGAGTACAATCTTGACAAAACCAACTTCTCCTGCCTCCGATGCTGAGTCGTAGCAAATTAAACTAGGAATCGCCACATTCCGTGACACTTCCAAGAAGCGTAGCATGTGGGGCACGTCCCACCTTGTACGAAACATACTTCTCATAGTGCACCCTTAACAAAACCAAGTTCTCCTGCCTCCGATGCTGAATCATAGCAAACTATACTAGGAATTACAACAATACAGGCGACATCTGATGAACGGTCCAGGTGGGACAAATCCCACCTCATACCGAACATACTTCGTAGAGTGCAACCATGAGAACACCAATTTCTCCTACCTCCGATGCTGAATCATAGAAAAACCAACTTGGAATCGCGACATTCCATGACACTTCCGAGAAGCGCAGCAAGGGGAACACGTCCCACCTTGTACCAAACATACTTCCTTTAGTGCAATCATGACAAAACGAAGTTCTCCAGGTTCTGATGCTGAATAATAGCAAACTATACTAGGAATTACAACAATACAGGCACCAACCGAAAGATGGTCCAGGTAGGGCAAGTACCACTTTGTACCAATTATACTTGAAAAAGTGAATTCTTGACAAAACCAATTTCTCCCGTCTCCGATACTAAATCATAGCAAAATAGACTAGGAATTACAAAAATACAGGCGACATCCGACGAACGGTCCATGTGGGGCAAATCCCACCTCATACCGAAAACATTCTTTGAAGAGGAGAATCACGAAAAAACCTAGTTTTCCTGCCTCCGATGCTGAATCATAGTAAGAAGGACCAAGAATTACAACAATCCAGTACACCTCCAAGGAGCGCAGCAAGTGGTGCACGTCCCACCTCATGCCGAACACACTTGGTAGAGTGCAATCTTAACAAAACCAATTTCTCCTGCCTCCGATGCCTTCGATGAACTGTTCAGGTGGGGCAAGTCCCACCTCATACCGAAAACATACTTCGAAAAGGAGAATTATGAAAAAAACCCAGTTTTTCTGCCTCCGATGCTGAAGCATAGCAAAATGGACTAGGAATCAAGACATTCCATGCCCCTCCCCAGAAGCGCAGCAAGTGGGACAAGTCCCAACCTCATACCGAACAT